TTTGATTTATTTTAGCAAATATTATTAAATTAATTTTAGATTTTCTTAACCAAAATGAGTGATTATAATTAGTCGAGTAATCAAATTAAAGGACTCGAAGAGATCAAATCAACATTTGTGCAAAGGAAGGAGATAATCTAAAGTAAGCTCATAGTTAATTTTTTCTTTTGGGATTTTATATATTTAAATGAAAAGTATTAATTATTTTTTTATGGATTAAAGCCAGAAATTAAAAATTTTCATTACAGAAGATCAATATAATTATGAGAGGTGTTCAAAGAAAGAACCAAAAAAATTTATCTAATGTATATTATTAATTCAAAAAAATTTATGAAATTCAAATGAAACTATTAATTTAAGATGTAAATTATTTATAGTTTTAGACATAAATCATGATAAAACAAATAACATATCAACAATAATAGATAATTTGATAGAATATAATGATTCACATTTTTAGGCATCAAATAAAGAAGGAAATTGAAGGTTCAGTGTGACCAAAATCAAGTATAAGCAAGGTGAGTACTTATTGTTTTATATGCATTATATTTGTTTTCATTTATTTTAAGATACTTATCATTTCAATTAAATATTTTATTATTTCAAACAGGCTTAAAAGTTTTTCTATGATTAAAAATAAATAAGAAAAAAATGAAATGATTGCAATATGATTAACATTGCTCCACCTTTTATATTGCAAAAAAGGAAGAATATATGAAGTTAATAATTAAAAAAATAAATTATAAAGTATATGAAAGATAAATGATTAATCTATTAGGAGCCACCTCCTTTTAGTACTATTTGGGGATGTTATTATACACGTGCATGTTAAACGTAAAAAAAAATAGTATATGATGTCCATTTATAATATAGAATAATAATAATTGTTATAATACAAAATTGTAAAAGAAATGATAAGGAATTTATCTTTAAGGCATAGAATTTTGGTGATATTCTTAAGATGATATCTTAAAATAATATTAAATGAAAAAAAAATAAATGATTAAAAGAATAACGATATAATTGATAAAATAATTTAATTAAAATTTTATAAAATAAACAATATAAAATATACTCTATTGACCACTCAGCATATTCTTTTAAGCATTCATATTAGACATTTGCATATAAAAATTAAAGCATAACAAATTGGTAATTATTCACAAAGTTGTTTTAAATTTAACATTTTATTTAATTGCTCTTTCAGGAAAAGCTCGACTAGACTGATATGGCTGATAAAAGAAAATTTATTCACAAAAGAATAGGAACAGTTGAAAATAGATAGCAGATGTTGCATTTTATGGGTAACATTTTATCGCTTTTATCGCATTACATCTTTTGCACTTTTTGACTGGATGATCTTTATATATTTTTAATTTTAGAGGATATTTACTTGTATATAATAGATTAGTGGCTCCTTTTAGTTAAATGTTACAACGAACTAATATTACTATTCAGAAATATTTATTTTATCGTTCGGTCATCCATTCTTGCCTTGATTAACTCTAAGTTCTCAAGCTGGGTCGTGACAATATGAATGCTTGATGAAGTGATAGAAGAGACTAGAAAACATTTGGTGGCCCAAGTTGTGACAAATAATGCTAATGTTTATAAGACAATTGGCAATAAATTTACAGAGAAAAGAAATTATATATATTAGACACTGTGTTGCACACTTTATATACCCAATTTTTTAAAAAGATTGGTGACTTGCCCCGACATAAAAATGCACTTGCCAAAGCAAAAGAAATCAGTAAATTAATCTAAAATGATTCTTGGGTATTTCCCTTGATAGCAAGTTTTATATTAAAAAAAAAAAATTCCTAAGCCCTATTATAATTAAATTCATCTGAACTTATTTAGCTCTATAGATATGTTCAAAGCTAGGCAAATATTGGAGAAAATGTTCACTTCTACTCGATAACTTAACCATGCATAGGCAAAGAAAGCTAAGTGGAAATAAATCAGAAAAATTACTTTAAACAAACTAGAATGGTCAAATATCAGATATGCTATAACAACCATAAGGCCATTGATTCAGATTTTGAGGTGCATGTAGAGAAAAACTTAGCTATAGGGTGTATTTAAAATGCAACAAAAAAGGAGAATGAATTAAATTAGAAGGGAAAGAGGCCACCCATAAAATGATTTTGAATATCATTGATGAGAAACGGTTGTTGCAATTCCACAAATATTTGCACGTTACCTGATAATTCCATAACTCTCAATTCCAACTAAGAACTCTAATAACTCTCAGATTAAGGGTCCGTTTGGGAGGGCTTTTAGACCGTGGCGGGGCATCATTTTCATAAAAAACTGGCCGCAGGTTCGACCCGCAGCTCTCGTTTCTTCTCTTTATTTTTACTACATAGCCCTCATTAACCTTCGCGTTCGTCGTCTGCCCTAACCTTCCCTGCGGAGCTCTCGCTTCCATTGCCCTAACCTCTCGTTTCGGTCATCTTCGTCCTCCAATATCCACTTTTCCTATCTTCTCTGGTGGATTTGCTCCTATTTTTTGACATGTTTTAGTTTCTCATTTCTGCCCTCAGCCGCTTAATAGTTGTTGATGTTGCGATGTTTCCGTAGGTTATTATTATTATTATTATTGAATGTTTTGAGTGAGAATTTGGCCAATTATCTCATCCTTCAAATGCTTTTCCCTAAAATTTACATGTGGCAAGAGATCGATTTCTACACAATGTTTTCGTTGCATTCCTTCATTCTTTCTTAAATTCTATCCTCTCCTTATTTGATGGGTTTTGTCTTTGTGGTTTATGGTCTCTCTCCTTATTTGATGATTTGTCTGTTGTGATTTGTGGTTTCTGGATTTGTGGGATTGATCTTTGTGGTTTGTGGTCTATGTTTTTTGTTAATTCATGGCTAATCGGTATGCAATGCTATTTGATTAGCTGTTGTGGTTTGCTAATTCATGGTGGAGTTGTTCTCTATATTTGTCATGTATAAAAAGGGTTAGTAGAGATGTTGATTTCAATTGGTTAATAATGTAAATTTTGATGCTTAGTTTTTAGAAAGGATTTTGCTTATACCACTTCTAAGCGAGGTAGAGAAGAAGTTGGTTAAACTGTGGAATGTTTTCTTGATTTCAATTGGCTATACATAAAAAATTATGAAGCTTGGGAATTATAATGGGTTTCTCTATTAGCACTTTTTTGCCATGTGGAGAAGAAGATTTGGATTGCTTTATTTGTTATTTTATTTTATAAGTTTTACTTTTAGTTTGTAAAAATTTATGTGGATTAGTTCTTTTCATATTAGTAGTGGGCAGGATAAAATAACGCATATCCTCTGTTATGAGGGACAAATATGATTGTTATCTCTGTCTAAAGTAGGTTGAATTGGGAAGTAGACCAACTACATATTTTAACAAAGAGAAATGGCATTCAGTGGTGTGTACTGGCATACGACTCAATTCTTATGTATTTACCCGTGGGTTGCACTATGCTCTACTATGCATTCAGTGTGTGTAGTTGTGAAAGTTTAGGGGTGAGCTTTTTAAACACACAAGAATTTTTTGCTATGTGTGTAAGTGCATACTAAAGGTGTGCTATGTATGTAAGTAAATAAGATATGTTTACTTACATAAGAATTCAGTGATGTAAGAACATAAGGAATGGGTGTTATGTAAGCACAAAAGAAATGTTACACGATGAAATTTTATGCGTGAGATTTTTAAATACAAAAGAATTATGTGCCATGTGTATAAGTACATAAGAAATGTGCTTTTGTTTGGAATACATAAGAATTATATGATGTGTGGAAGTATATAAGAATTTATGTTCTATTTGTATAAGTGCATAATAATTTATGTGCTAGGTGTAAGCTTTGATTGAAATACATAAGAAATTGGTTCTTTATTTTGGAATACATAAGAAATCTTCTTTGTAAATACATAAGAATTGGTGGGATTGCTCTATTTAGATAGAAAGGTGGCATTTCAACATATATTTGGAATATTTGCTTACGCGTGATTAAATTCCTATGCATTTACACATTTAACCACTAATCATATATTTTCACATATATGAGACCTAACATAAGTGCATAAGTTCTCTTTTTGGTGTGATATTACATATTTTTGAACATAAGAACTATGTGTTATGTTTGTAAATAGAAAAGACCTATGTGCTTTGGTTTGTAAATATTGTGAGATTGCTATGGATTTGGTGGGATTGATTTATTTTAATATATCGTTAGAATATTTACTTACAATCACAATTCTTATTGCTTTCACATATCTATTAATGTTTCTCATGGCTATTTCATTTATACATTTATACATTTGGATTTAGAAAATTTGAGTGAAAATTTGAGGTCGAGGTGGTGCCGATGTAGGTGGTGTTAGGGATGGTATTGCCAATGTGGCTGGAGGGGTTGGGGATGGTGGTGTGTGCTCGTATGTGTAGATGTGGTGTTGTGGGGTGCGCGATGGTGTTGTGGTCTTCTGTGTAGATGTGTGGTGGTGTGTGTGGGGAGGGGTGGATGTGTTGGCATGTGTGTGGAGGGGTGGTTGTGTGGTGGTGTGTGGAGGGGTGGCTGTGTGGTTGTGTGTGTGTGTGGAGTAGATGTGTGTGGTCATTTGTGTGGAGGGGTAGATGTGTGGTGGCCAAATGCGTGGAGGGGTCGATGTGGCGGCCATGTGTGTGTGGAGGGTTGTAGATGTGTGGGGGTGGTGTGTGATAGACTGTTTGCATGTGCATATATTGTTACATTTTTGTTTATATTACTTTATTTTTTTCATCATAGTAATACAATGGTTAAGACTAAAGAGGCTGGTACACCCGCAATTTGGCACAAATAAATAAAAATGATATTTTGTGACCTTTGCCTCAAGGGGATCAATATGGGAAATAAGCCTATTTCCTATTTCAACAAGGAAGCATGGCATAAACTATTAGATTCGCATGAGTTCCAATGCAAGCATATGTAGTAAGCATGTCTAAGTTTGTTCTTTGGTATAGAGATAAATTTAAACAACAAACCTGGGAACTTTGCAGAATCAATGTAGGTTGTTGCTTCGGGAACTGTGTGGACAGTGAAAAATGCACCTGCCACAATGACATTGCTAAGTAATAAATGTCTGTAGTACAGAAGAAAAAAAAAAGTACAACGCCGAACATAATTGCTTCATGGCCTTTTTACTCTTTCTTGATCGCTAAATTAAACTAAGGGAATTTGTGAAATTGAACCTGAAAACTAAATCTAGGCCTACTAGTTTACAAGAAATTTGTGACTGACTGCACAACAAAAATCATATCTGATCACTTTTTAGGATATTTACACACATCCACACAAAAACAAATACATATGCCTTGGCTTAACAAAGATAAGGCAAGGCTATTCAAATAGGCAATAAAAACAACCTTTAACAATTGATTATCTTTGCACTCCTGAATTTTCTCATTCTTTCGCACCAGTATGATGTAATTTAAATTTTTCATACATTCACTCTTCTGAGGTAACAAAACCACTTGGACAAGTTGAATTGGCATATAAATGAGAATTTTAAGATTTATGCATGGTAAACTTAGGAAGAACCTTTGAATATCATATTTTATAGGCTTGGTGGGGGTAACAAATATTATAATTAAGATAATCAATATTTGAGTTGAGGTCCAGACATATATAACAGAGCACATATGATGGATCAATAGGATAGGTAGATAAAATGAATGAGTAAGAAATATAAAGGAAATGTAGAGACCTATAACATGATTACAAGTTGTACAGGAACACGTGCTCAAGTAGAACTCTGTAGATATGAACAGAGAGGAAGCATTCAATAATCTGATCAAAATAGTCATCTTCCAGATAATGATGATCAGAATAATGATAACGTATTCTTAATTTTCAAGAATTAATAAACAATTAAGATCGGAGGCCATGTCCTGATTTTTTTTGTGGAATCACAACAAAATTTTGTTAAACACCCAAAACTGTAGAAAGTTTGAAAATGCAGATAGAATAAAACATACAAGGAATGTGAAGACTCCCGTCACAGCAAGAACTGTAGCTTTTCTACAAAAAATCTGATTAAACAAAGCATAAGTATGTATTCCATAGCATCAATCAAATTAAACATGAGTAAAAAAAAACAGACCGGATCAGCTTCAAGAGGTCTTCCAAATTTGGGGACTAAAGCCTCAATGAAACGCCTTCTAGCGCCGACAAATGTAACTGCGTCCATGACCTACACGTACTCATTAAATTAAAAGTAAACTGACAAGGCTATAAGGTGAATAAGCAGGCAGCTAATAATGTTTTAGCGAAAAAGAAAGAAAGCAATATTAAAAATCCATGCCAAGAAGCAAGCTAGAACATGACCACAAAAAGCACGTGCTAACTACATGTTGCAATAGCTGGAAATATTTAGATCAGAGATTATTGGGTTCAAATGCAATTGATAGTATTTAATGTAGAAAATTCTCATTCAACGGAAAGAGAAAAACAACTATGAACTGTAGAAATTATAATCTTCTATAGGTTCATGGAGCATTGAGTTTCTTTTATGAATATAACTGACACTCCAAACACTAGGCCAACATGAGTCGCCAACATCTCCATTCTGATAATAGCAACACCAGTCACATACAACAATAACAATATCATTATCCCACTACATGAATCCTTTTTCTCCACTGTGTCCTATTTTTCATTTAATTCTAAAATTAAGATCATTTTGTATACAACATGCCCAAATCTTTTTAGATCTATCTCTACCTATTGTGGCATAAGTCTAATATAAAACATCTACTCTCCTAACAAGGTCACCAGATGGTTGACATATAATGTGAACAAACTATCAAAAGTGACTCTCTAATCTTATCTGCCACCGGAGTTACTCCAACCCTTTCAGGTATATATTCGTTTCTCATTTTGTCTCTTAGTGTAAAATCGAGTATTCTCATCTCAACAACACTTAACTTAATTTTATGCATTCTACGTCATAAAGCAATGCAAGAAACACAGTTATCTCATACAATTTCTCTTTAGTTCTAATCAGTACGTTTCTATCACACAATTAGCCTGATGCATTCCTCCACTTCAACCATCCAACTTGAATTCTATTAATAACATCCTCATCTATATCAAAATCACTTCGAACAATAGACCCGAGATATATAAAATGTTCATCCCTTTTAATTAATTGTTCACCCATTCTTACAACACAATCACTATATCTACTAGTACTAAAATTACATTTCATGTATTCAGCTTTAGATCAACTCAAATAAAAGCCTTTAGACCCTAAAGCTGACCTCAATAATTCTAGTTTTTTCTAAACTCTTTCTACTCTTATCCACAAGAATATCATCAGCAAAAAACAGACATCAAAGTACATCCTCATGTAAATGTCCTGTAAAAGCATTCATAACTAAAGAAAAAAATAAAGGCTTAAAGTCGATCCTTGATGTAATGCAACTAAATTAGAAAAATACTTGGTTAATCCTCTTTGTGTTCGAACACAATTAACAGCCCTAGAATACATATCTTTAATGAATTGAACATAAGCAATATCAACAACTTTTTTTTTTCTAGAATTCTCGAGAGTACTTCTCTTGAAACTTTATCATAAGCTTTTTCCAAATCAACAAAAAATCAAAAGTAGATCCTCCTTATTCTCTATATACCTTTCCATCAAACCTGCCAATCAATGTATAGTTTCCATAGCAGACATGCAGGACATGAATCCAAACTGATTTTGAGGAAGGGATGCTAGTCACATGAAAAAAAAAGAAACACAATATTCAAGAAGAAGTTAAGAGCAACCTAAAAATCTCCTTAAAAGATGGAGATAATGACATCAGAACCGCCAAAAAAAAAACATCAAAATATTTTCGTCTCATTTTTTTCTTGAAAGGCCTCAAACAAAGCATCTTGAAATAAATTAAAAGTCATTGATATAGATGCATATTGTAAAAATAAAAATAATTTAGCAAAGAAATGATCATTGACCAAAGAAAAATATGTTGAAATTTTCATACATATTTTACACTGTTTTTTATGATATTGCACTTTAAAGAAAGGTATTTTTGATGTTTTGTTGCAAGAATGATGAATTAGGGTCATTGGAGAAAAAAGATGCAAAAATGAGCGAATTTGGGGTGAAAATGACCAAAATGTGAAAATTTGAACTAGGGCGCCGACGGCGAGCCCAACAGCGCCGACGGCAGACTTTTCCCGAGACTCAGATTTAATTCACTTAGAAGGCCCGCGCCCTCAAGGCCGCCGACGGCCAGCTCGGCGGGTATGTCCCTCCACGACATTCTGCATGAATGAGGACGAATTTTGGAGGGATGCTTAGGCAACTCTTGGGAAAACTCTTCAACAACTTTAAAAGAAGATTTTGACCGAAAATAGAGAGGGTCCTGGAGGTTAGAGAGATTCTATTAGTGTAGAGAGAATTTACTAGAGTATCTAATTTGTGAGAAATTCTTTGAGAGATTGAAAGAGTTGAGGGAAAGTGAGAGATTTCTTCCTCCTTACCGCTTCGAAGAGGAATTATGAGTGCTGTAAAGAAAGGAAGAGATTCAGAGGAACTTCGAGAAGTTTGTTTAGGGAGAAATTAAAGATAAGTTTATTTACTTGTTGTAGTTTGTATGACTTTGCTTTTATATATGAATTTCGAGTTTTGTTGTATTTTCCCCATGAAATCTGAGTAGTTTTCTTTGTTTTTCTCCTTGTCTTGAGATTTGTGAAATGGTGATTCGAATTGGTAAAGCCATGAAAATGTTAAAGAAGTTGTGATGATCTTTTCACTTCGATCTTAATTTACTTTCAATTTGGCCAATTGATTTGTTAAAATATGTTGAGTTTTACAACTAAAGTGAAGATTACATCCAAGATTCAGGGAGGTCAAAGCCCTTGGAAGTTGGGTGCAAATAAATAGGGAAATAATATTATCGAGCGTAGAATTGGAGATTTTAGAGTGACAGACTAAAATCCCCAATTC